AGGCGAATGTAGAGGAACAGTGATAGTTGGAAATAAAAAATTAAAGATTTCTGGGGAAAAATATACAAAACAAAAAAGAAAAAGGGCAAATTGAAATTGCCTGCCACTGTACAATGTTGAAGACGGTGCGTTTTGGTAATACTGAAGAGTGAAGAATCATTTGCTTTGCTTGTCTGGTAATTCAACTGATTGGTTTTCGCAAATTCGAATGTGTGGTTTCACTTTCACAATCGCATGCCAGAGCAGAAGAGCTAGATAGATAGTCCGAGTCCCACTCAGTCTCTGTCTGAGCCTCCGCCTCCGCCTCTGCCTCCACCTCCGCGTGGTAATGAGAACTCACAAAGCAGCGTCGAGTAACAACATCAACAGGCGGCCCACTGTTCTGTATCTGGTTTGCGCCGCCGCATTCTTCTCTGTTCTCCTTTTCGGCATCCAATCTTCTTTATTCACAGGTCTTCCTCCTGTTCATTCATATATTTTACTTTATTTATTGAACACTATTTTACTCGTAATTCCGCCTCCAGCTTAATCAATTTCTATCGGATTACTCAGGTAATCAGAAATTAGATCTCAAGACTGAACAACAAGATGTTCGAATTTTATCGGAATTTCAGTCTACTGTAAAGCAATGCGTGGTTAGTTTCGTACTTTCCTTTTTCGTCAACAGTGTCATAATTTCCCTTTTTTTTTTTCATGGATCTGGCCTCTGTTTTTTTATTCATCTCTTTAGTTTTCCTTCTTAGTTGAAGTTTTAAAACCTGCACGATTGTTGCTTACTTAGTATCGTGGTGGGGAACATTAGCATTGCACTGTAGTTGTGCTATGTTTGTTTGCCTCAGACTGATCTGAGAAATGAAGTGGTGGTTTAAACTTAGGAAACGTAGCATCCACTACCTTCCCCTCCTCCCCCCCCTCCTCCTCCTCTTCTTTTTCTGTTGCGGTGGGCTTTGGAAGTATATTTGAATCCTTACGAAGCTTAAACTAAATGTAGGCAAACAGAGGGCTCGGTCTCACTGCACATATTATTGACCATTGCAACATGACTCTGAAGTTCCCCGAAGGAACTAACAGCACCTGGGTCTGTCTACTTTTACCCCCTCACCAAATGTTTATTTTAATTCATTTTTAAAGTAGCCTCTGAGTGCTAACTAATTCAGACTTCAATTGCAGTATAATGAGCAGTTTAAAACTTTTGAAGCACTGGAGTACAATTATAATGTTTGTGAGGCAATTTTATTGTGGGAGCAGGTTTGTTTCTATCCTATCTGTGTGATTATCTTTCAAGCCGATTATCTGTACTGATGCTTTTAAGGATGCAGTACCGGAACATGACGACAGTATTGACAAGGGAGTATCTAGATGTTCGGCCTAAAGGGTGGGAGGAGTATGCAGCACAAAGGATAGCACAATTGTATGCTCGTGTACACATTTATCTCTTCCAAACCTGTGGTTGATTTCTGACAATGGATTATAGAACACAAATGCCTATGATCTCAACTCCATCTATTTACCCTCTGTTTTTTCGGTTGTAGGGGAGCTGATAAATGCTATAATAGGACACTTTGTGAGGAACACCTTAATTTGATACTTCCAGCAAAGCCACCTTTTCATCCGCGGCAATTCCGTACATGTGCAGTTGTTGGAAATTCAGGCGATCTTTTGAAGACAGAGTTTGGAAAGGAGATTGATAGTCATGATGCTGTTATAAGGGACAACGAGGCTCCTGTTAATGAGGTAAACTAGCATGTATAAAGACGGCTGTTTCCTATCATTGGTGAATATATGGCTTTATTCTTTCATGAGAGCGATTGATTCTTCTATGGTTCTAATTGGGAAAGACAGGTGTCTCGTATTTTCTTGAAAAATAATCCATTATCTGCTTCGTTTAAGCTAGCTCTTTGTTCTACAGTTACTCAATTACTTATGCATATAGTATAAGCATATAACCCAGGTAACTACTGAGCTCCAGCCTCCAATGGTGATCTTTCATATCCTAATTTTGAACGTGTCTGAAATGATTTTGAGCATATAACTTAATCCCCACAACCCTCCCTCTCCTCCCTTTCCCAATACAAAAAGAAGAAAATATCTTAAGTATACTGTTAGTTTTAATCCTTTATGCATTTGATGGTCAAGTAAATAATTGATAGAAGTTCTAACTTAGTATTTGATATGTGTAGAAATATGCCAAGTATGTTGGTCTGAAGAGGGATTTTCGCCTTGTTGTAAGGGGTGCGGCTCGTAACATGGTTGCCATTCTAAATGGATCTGGTATGTTTCTAATTAATTGTGTGTCATAATATTTTTTTTTTAAATTGTATTTTCATAACAAGAGAAGGTGCATTTGCCATTCAATATGCCATAATTGCTCATCTCATCTTCCTTTGCTGTTTTTTAAGCCCTTGGAATCATTAGGACATTGGTATAAACTTCTTAGTTGTGCCATTCTTCTTCCAATTTTTGGAAGGAAAAAATAACCTTCTTAGAGGGGAGTACATGAAAGTCTGTACTTGACTAATCATGCCAACCATTCTTTTCACCACTATGCTTTTAATGATTTTCTGAGAGATGATGCTAGTTGAAAATTTCAGATTGTTTCAAGAAATAAGAACAAAGTTAACTTTTGTATGTTGTATAATATAAATCATAAATCTTCATGGGTGTGTTCTCATATTTACAAGTTTCCCTTTCTTGTGCAGCTGATGAGGTACTTATAATCAAAAGTGTTGCGCACAAAGACTTTAATGCAATGATCAAGGTGAAGATCACATCTAAGGAGGCCAATATATTTGTTCTTTCTTAGTTGATAGTTAACATGCGCGGTTTCCAGAGACTTGTCTAACATTTTGGATCCTAACGTATTGCAGAGAATTACAAATCCAGTTTACCTTTTCCAAGGTATTGTGCTCCGCCGGGGTGCCAAAGGAACTGGAATGAAGTCCGTAGAATTAGCACTTTCTATGTGCGACATTGTTGACATATATGGTTTCACTGTTGATCCTGGATATACTGAATGGTTCGTTTGGTTCCTACTTGATACATTGTTGTTATTTGTTGGTATTATTATTAGCTAGCAGGGAACCTGCTTATATTCCTGCCTTTCCATGTGAATAAGGTTCTCTTGTATTTCTGATTCCCTTCCATTTTGGTTAAATAGATATCCTCTTTGACACATATCATCAGCATCAATTCAGGTTTTGATGTATTGGCATTGTTTGTTGTCGGTCTTCGTATAGCTTACTAGTTTATTACTTCCTTGTAGGACACGTTACTTCTCTACACCTAGGAAAGGGCATAATCCACTTCAAGGAAGAGCATACTACCAGCTCCTAGAGTGCCTTGGTGTAAGAATACAAACTTTTCTTTATGAGAATGTATCCAATTACAGGCGCATGCCTGAATTCATATCCCTGAATGATTCAACTTTTAGCTTTTCTATATATCAGGTTATCAGAATCCATTCTCCCATGAGGTCTAAGAGGAAGCAAGATTGGTCAGATGTGCCAAGTCGAGAAATGATAGGCAGAGCTCATGCAGCAGCCTTGCGATTAAAGAGGAGTCAAACTGGTCAGGCCGGTGATTTGGGACAGTTTGGCAGTTGTAAGGTGATGGGCCATGTGGACCCTGACAACATTGGGCCTGTCTCAGGATCTCCAGACATGAGTGATGTAAGAAAGAATTCAAATTACAATAAATGGGAAGTCTTGCCTTTCAAGAGTCTGAGGAAGGAAGCACAGGACCACTTTATTCAAATGGAAGGTGCTTCTCTATACAAAATGGATGGCAATAAGTTGGATGACCTAGTATGTGTGAGGCATTCCTTAATATCAGAGGTCTAGCTGAGAACTATCTTGTGTTGATTCTTTATGGTCGGTCTTAATCAGACTTTGGTTGGTTAAGAGCAGAGCCAGCCGTGCATTCCCACTTTCTCATTGTCTTGTGGAATTTTCAGTGAGATTGGACTTCTTTCACAGCTCAGCTTGTGCACCACTCTAGTTTATCATTTTAGTGAATATGCTAGGATCAGTAGCAGTGACATGGGAGGAATCGCAGCCTGCAATATGCAGTGGGAAAGACATCATCAGCAATACACTGTTTGAATGCTTATCTATACTCTAGAGATTTTTGGAAGTAGAAAGATGTATGGAAATACAGATATGCATGTATGAGGCTTAATTGATGTTTTTAATAGATATTCTTTTTAGTACACATTCAGAATCTAACAGAGGCATGTAAAGTGATTTGATCTCAGTGACATTGTGTATGGGTGGCTGGGCCGGTTTTCTGATTGGTCTCCGGAACATAATTGTAGATGTTGACACTTCTCCGATCATATTTCTTAATTTTGTTTTTTATACATGCAACAGTATAAACTACTATAGTTTAGAGGGGAAGATATCAATTTGTTTTATTTTTCTAAGACTTTTTCTATTGAGGGGGGCGATAACATACTAAATTCGCACACATTACACAGATGCAGCAGCCTTACACAGATAATGCGTCCTTTGCAGAAGATATCAAACTTGAAAAGCAAAGGGACGGATACATCAGCCTTGACCTTATTGGCCTTAACCCGCGTATCCATCATGGTCCTTACAACAAGTCACTTCGAACTGCTCTATCGGGTTGTATGGTTGTGTCGTTTCGGTTTGCTCAGTAGTAGTTTATGTTTGAGTATCACTACTATAGACACAATTGGCAAGGCAAGACAAGACAATCATCACCAATATATTTTCTCCTCGTGTTAAAGTTATTAAGGAATCGCATGTTTTGCTCAGCGAAGTCCTTTATGTGGAGTTTTGAGTGTTCTGAACATGCAGTTGCATTGCAGCTGCTCGCTTCACCTTCACGATAACGAGGCCCAGACCTCGACGACTATTTTCCGTATGACAGCATTTAGATCAAATGCGCTCCTAAAATTTAGGACTCCAAGAGTTTCTGAACCTCCAAAAGCAAAACCACTCCTCAACCTCAACCTCAACGCCCAAAATTACGTTGACGCCCGTATGATCAAGACGGGCTTCGATCCAAACATATGCCGCTCTAATTTTCTGGTGAAGAACTTTCTAAAACGAGGTGAATTATCTCAAGCACGTATACTGTTCGACCAAATGCCTCATAAAAACACTGTCTCGACAAACATGATGATATCCAGTTACGTCAACTCCGGCAATCTTTATGAGGCTAGGGAGTTGCTTGACACCATGCTTGACCGTACAGCGGTAACATGGACGATACTAATAGGTGGGTATTCGCAAGCAAATCAATACCGTGAGGCATTTGAACTTTACGCCGAGATGCATAGGTGGGGAACTAAGCCGGATTATGTGACTTTTGCAACTCTCCTATCTGGATGCAGTGACATGGAGACCACAAAACAAGTAGTTCAAGTTCATTCTCATATCCTTAAATTGGGATATCATTCCACCCTCATGGTCTGCAATTCCTTGCTTGATTCTTACTGCAAATCCCATCGCCTGGATTTAGCGTGTCGACTCTTCAAGGAAATGCCTGAGAGAGATAACGTTACATTCAATGCATTGATAACAGGGTACTCAAAAGATGGTTTGAATGAGGAGGCTATTAACCTCTTTGCTCAAATGCAAAATCTTGGTTACAAGCCTTCTGAGTTTACTTTCGCAGCACTACTTTGTGCTGGTATCGGTTTATATGACATAGCCTTTGGGCAGCAGGTTCATGGTTTTGTGGTGAAGACTAATTTTGTTTGGAACGTGTTCGTGGGGAATGCATTGCTAGATTTCTACTCAAAGCATGACTGTTCGGTTGAAGTAAGGAAACTATTTGATGAGATGCCAGAGTTGGATGGTATTTCCTACAATGTAATCATCACATCTTATGTATGGGATGGGCATTTTAAAAGGTCTCTTGATCTTTTCCGTGAATTACAGCTTACCAAATATGACAGGAAGCAGTTCCCTTATGCAACCATGTTGAGCATTGCATCAAATACTCTCAACTTAAACATGGGTCGGCAGATCCATTCCCAGGCCATTGTAGCAACAGCTGATTCAGAAATTCAAGTTGGAAATTCCTTGGTGGATATGTATGCCAAATGTGGCAGATTTGAGGAAGCCAAAAGCATATTTGCACGTCTGGCTGACAGAAGTGCAGTTCCATGGACTGCAATAATCTCCGCATATGTTCAGAACGGGCTCCAAGAAGAAGCCCTTGAACTGTTCAATGAGATGCGCAGAGCAAATGTTAGTCCTGACCAAGCCACTTTTGCAAGCATCTTAAGAGCCTCTGCCAATTTAGCTTCACTCTCACTGGGAAAGCAGTTACACTCATCCGTGATCAGATTAGGATTTGCATCCAATGTTTTTGCTGGAAGTGCACTCCTTGATATGTATGCGAAATGTGGGTCCATGAAATATGCACTTCAAACTTTTCAAGAGATGCCCAAAAGAAATCTGGTCTGTTGGAATGCCCTGATCTCAGCTTATGCACAAAATGGAGATGGTGAAGGCACTCTTAGATCGTTTGAACAGATGGTTCAGTCAGGTTTTGAACCAGATTCAGTGAGCTTCCTGAGCGTTTTAACTGCTTGTAGCCACTGTGGGCTTGTTGAGGAAGGATTGCAATACTTCAACTCCTTGAACCGTAACTGTAAAATCGTCCCAAAGAGAGAACACTATGCATCAATGGTTGATATGTTGTGTCGAAGTGGGAGGTTCAATGAAGCAGAGAAATTGATGGCTCAAATGCCATTTGAACCTGATGAAATTATGTGGTCATCAGTTCTAAACTCATGCAAAATTCATAAGAATCAAGAATTGGCAGAGAGAGCAGCAGACCGACTTTTCAATATGGTGGACCTTAGAGATGCAGCTGCTTATGTGAACATGTCGAATATTTATGCAGCAACAGGTCAATGGGAGAGTGTTGGAAAGGTGAAGAGGGCGATGAGAGACAGAGGAGTCAGGAAAGTTACAGCATATAGTTGGGTGGAAATCAACCACAAAACTCATGTATTTACTGTGAAAGACACGAGCCACCCACAAAGTGGGAAGATTATGAGAAAGATTGATGAGTTGACGAAGGAGATGGAAAAGGAAGGGTACAAGCCGGACACAAGTTGTGCCCTTCACAACGAGGATGATGAAATAAAAGTGGAGTCTCTTAAATATCACAGCGAACGCTTAGCAATTGTCTTTGCATTGATCAGTACACCGGAAGGATCACCGATAGTGGTGATGAAGAACTTGCGAGCTTGCACAGACTGCCATGCTGCAATCAAGGTGATGACAAAGATTGTTGGGAGGGAAATAACAGTTAGAGACTCAAGCAGGTTCCATCATTTTAGAGATGGGCTTTGCTCCTGTGGGGACTTTTGGTGACAATTTTTATTCATCAAATGTGATATATCATCAGACGGGCTGGACTTTAACCTTTTTATATGCTCCACTCAGGTTTTCTTAATTAATTTCAATAAATAAAAGGTTATGGGTTTAGAGGCGATGCCATGGGTAATTTGCAATAACAAAATTTCGATTCTCTTTTCAAAATTTAAAGCTTTTTCCGCATGAACAGGGTAGGCAACATTGTACCTTCTGAATCTTTCAGACGACAGTACACTTTGAATGATTTAGAAGTTAGCTCTCCTTAGTCAGCACCACGTTTAAGCAATGCATCATTTGCAACAGAACTAGCACAATCCTAACCCAGATTTAGTTTTCCAGAAACATAATTCTTGCCGAGTAAACGACTTCCAATACAAGCATTGCATCATTATCCAACATGATACAAAATGGGCGAGAATGCCACATCTTCAATTCTAATCTGACAGCCGGGGGGCAGAGATTTCCCCAACAAAGGTAAAACTAATTACCAAAGCTGAAAATTTCTATGTTAAGTATGCTAACAAATAAACCACCACAATAACCATTAAAGAATTGAATCTCCATCAATGTTCCTCCCATACTCAGACAGAACCATTCTCGGATCCACACTCTACTTCAAAGGGATCATTCTCAAAGAAGGCCTGGTGCAGAGCCCTAACGCACTGCTCGGCTTCATTGTCGTTTACAACCAACGAGATATTAACCTGGCCAGTGGTGATACATAAACAGTGAGTATCATCAAATTTATAAACATTTCATAGTAAGCCATCTGTAAGCATCCAATTCATTCATGAGCCTAGTAGAATAATAACCGGGATTCAGATGACAGTGAGAAAATCCCAGATATAAACACAAAATATTTACTAAGGCGTCAAGATTTGGCAGAGTTTTTTTCCACCACTAAAATGAAAAGACGCAGAACTAATGGTAGGAGAGACCTTGGATGCACCCTGAGAGATCATCTGAACATTGACTCCATTAGTTCGAAGAACCTGAAATGCCTGCAACATACGACCAAAAATATGAATACCACAAACAAATATACGTGAACAAAGAGATAACTAAACATGACTGAAGCCTGCATGGCAGTCCTACCAAAACTGATCAACCATCTGTTTGAACACCAGAACAATTGCAATCAACCAAAGAACAAAAGCAAAATAGGGAGCATTTTTTAAGTACTTAGCAAAACACAATACAGCACCTTTTCTAGTATCAGTGATGACCTCTGCACATTTCCAATGAGAGATATAATTGATCTGTGCTGAAGAAGATTGACAACAGCAATTTTCTCAAGCTCTTCCACGACATGGTCAAGTTCCTGCAAGGAAGATGCACTATTTCAATGAGATTTTATACAAGAATTACAAGAGGAAATTGACTACTCAACCATCAGCATTACAAGATATAGTGTGCATGTGACTAACTACAACTTTCACATTACCGACAAGGATGACACACATAAGATGAGTACATCATAACAAATCATATGCACATAATAAATCTTAGGTGCATGTAAACAAGTGAACTCCAGAAAAACATAATTGGTCGAAGATGAAATCATACGCTTGCCTGCTGAATAAGCTCTCTGCTCCAAAGCTTTGAGGGGTCCAATGTCAAGGAAATACTAACTTCACTTGTAGCAACAACATCAACTGATATGCCCAGATCTTCGAAAGTTGAAAATACCTACATGGAAAATAATATAGAAATTAGCTACTAAGTTACCAAGAGGATAACCAACAGAAAAAAGGTATTTTATTTTCTCACCTTAGCAAGAAAACCATATTGACCAAGCATGCGAGTGCTAACAATATCCAACATAGTCACGTTCCGTTTCAAAACAATGCTAGTTAATACAGCCTGCAATTGAGACAAAGAAAAACTCATTGCAGTCTGGAGCATTTTATGACAATGGTATTCAGTTTTCCAGCAGAGTACTGTTACGAACCTTGCTCATATCTCTTGCATGGGTGATGACAGTACCTGGAGCATTGGGATTGTATGAATTTTTAACCCTCACAGGAATATCACCCTCTCTAGCTGGTCTCATGGACTGTGGATGCAAGACCTGCAAGAAGAAAATAAATTTTATTAAATCCTGTTTTCTTTCTTTTGTAAAGAATGCAATTCTAACAAAACTACAGGTGGTTTAAGAGCTATTTCACTACTCCAAAGAACTTCAAAATTACCAGAACAGAAAAACTGAGTATTTAAAGACAGAAGAAACTGGATTGAATAATTTTTTTTCAGAGAAACTTGATCAAATAATTTGTACGTGTCCAGTTCATTGCTTGGATAACTGTTGGCTAACGAGGACCCCTCAGCAGTTTGACTTTGGCCCATCATCAAAGTGAAATATTGGGTGTTATGACATTACCTTACGAGTAGGAAGCTATAAACTGATGATATGGAGATATTGACAAATATCCATATTGCATGAAATTATGTTGTGAATGATGGAAATTTTTAATAAAATGCACAAAAATGGGAAAGCATTGCATCCAATATCACTCACTTGTTAATATCTAACATCAATATTGATACCTGAGCACCAAAATATGCAAGTTCAGCAGCCTCTTCAAATGTCAAATATGGTACAGGTTCTGCACGTGGATATATGTTAGGATCACATGTCAAAACACCATCGACGTCCTTCCACACCTGTAAGGAATTGAAAAATATATATTAAATTTTGTTACTTTAAAAAGAACTAGGAAATTAAGCATAAAAAATTCAACACACCTGAATTTCTCGCAACCCCAGTGCTTTACCAATGGTTGTGGCTGTCAAATCACTGCCACCCCTACCCAGTGTAGTCACAGCACATGATCTCCATCCCTGCAACCAGATAAACAGTGTCAATGGTATTAATAGTTGAATCCTTCCAGGTGGGAAATACATGTAGAACTTAGCCAGAAGAGACACCTTTCCAAGGAAGCCAGTAACAATTGGAATAGCAGGATTGCATATCCAATCACCGTGTAACCTCTTTGCGACAGCTGGATAAGTTGCCTCCAAAATGTCCGCATTTGTGAAGTCATCTGTGGTTATAAATCCGATTTCAAAGGCATCATACTGCCAAAAAAGAAACAAACAATTATATAATTTTGTTATCAGTAAGAATGGTACAAACAATTAAGAGTTCCCCAGATATTACAGTTGGAAAGTTGCAAGGACTTGCTGCCAATTTGCCTCATCAACTAGCTATGATGAGACTTTTGGCGGTCTATTATTACAAGCTTATGATGACTTAACATAAAGAACATGCCAACATTGTTAGTCCTTTTTCCATACCCATCATGTGCCAATGCAGATAAAAAGGATCGTATTTCAATTTTGGGCTTACTAAGCTCATATGTTAGCTACAGGAGAACATAAGATGGCAATCACATTGAAGCATACACAAGTAATTGAGGAAGAACATACTTGGCGGGCTTTAACACCAATCTTATTCAAATAAGCAGCAAAGAGCCTTGTGGACATGCATTCCCCAAATGAAACCAAATAGTCTTTTGTCCGTAAAGTCAGTTCTTTCATCATAGCAATTCCCTTCAGAAGTTGTTCTAGTTCTTCCAAGTGTGCTGTAAAACATTTTTAGGATATAACGGAATAGCCATAAAAATCAGTAAGATTACAATGAACATTGTGCACACAGGCATCTAGCAGAACCAAGGCCATAGCTCTAGGTTGTGTAAAATTCTGGACTTGCTGATATGCAAAACAAGATTATATTTTTATTCTAAACAAACAAATGAACAGTAAGTGCGGATAAGAAAAAAGAACTCACATGAAATGATAGAGCTGTCCACTCCAAGTTCGTCCACAGTCCTATACAGAATAGGATGATGCACGGTGAGAAGAAATCTAAAATTTGAATCTTTTTCCTCCATAATCTGTATAAGAAAGATAAAGCATTTCTTTGCGCTCACCTGAGATGTAATTCTTTTATGAAGCTTAACTCATCAATAGTAGAGACATTAGTAACACCGCAACTGACAGCCTTTTCTCCTGCCTACTCAGTGCACAAACAATTTGACCACATGTTGATACTGGTACAAAATGAAAAGTTGGACACATATCGAGTAATAATCATATATAATGCGTACCAGTAGGAGCTTGTTAGTTGTCTTTCCCATGGCAGATAAAACAATGACAGGCCTCTCTTGCGGGAAGCTGAGTATAAGATCAGCAACCTCTCTCATTCTCTCTGCAGAAGCCACCGAGGAGCCACCAAATTTCATAACACACGTCAATTGTTTCTCATTTTCGCCAAGACATTGATTGTCAGTCTGTTTCTTTTCAAGAACATCCGTGATTCCTCCTCCCTCACAGCTGACTCTCAAAACTCTACTTGTACAAGAAAAGTTTTTTGCACTTGTATAGAATCCGTTGTTGGAAGCTACACAAGTTGCAAAACGGAGTCGTTGAGACCACAAGGGTTGCTTGTATTGCAAAGATCTTTCTGAGGATGCAGATGCAGGGCACGGAGTTTTTACTCCGGAAAAATGCAACGCGGTCGCCATCTAAGATTAGTTATTTCGACGAATGAATGATGTTAACGCAGAGTGTCTTAATCAGTTGATTGTTTGTTATGGTACCAAAGTTAGAAGCTCAAGTCTGATATGATGGGAGATCCCAACACAACACAAAACCGATTTTTCAAATCTCCAACTTGAGCCAGCAGCAGCTCGATCTGCAAATTCCATAACTCAATTGAATCATTTCAAAAGTAAACAAACAGCAAAAACGCCATGAAGCAGATTATTTCACAATTTTACTTCTTTTTGCTTTTCTGAAAGTAGTAGCGGGAGAAGTAGATTGAAGAGTACCTTGAGACGAAATGCAAACGGAATGCAGGGAGGACTTGAGCTTCCTTTCCTTCCCTTTCCGTCGACGGAGAGGCAGAGAGGGCAGCAGAGGCTGTGTGGTGGTCTCTTTTAGATTCAGAGAATCTAGAGCGAGAGCTTTTGCCAAGCTCGCTCTCTCTCTTTCTCTCTCTCTCAAAGGAACAAGGAAGGAAAAACAAACATA